GATAGGTGAGATTTTGATCCGAGGGTCGGAATGGAATTCCGAGAGTTGTTGTAGCTTCGTGCTGTGATGTGGGATGTGTGTGCAAAATTTCAGGTCATTCGGAGGTGATTTGGTAGGGTTTCTGGTCGAATACGTGTTTCGGAAGTTTTAGAAGAACTTAGGCTTGAATTCGATGTAATTTGATGGTTTTGGTGTTAATTGATGTGTTTTGATGATTGGAACAAGTTTGAATAACGTTGTAGGATGCATTGGTATTTTTGGTTGAGGTCCCGGGGGCCTCGGGGTGAGTTCGGATGGTTAAACGGAGAGTTTTGGAATTTTTGCATGTTGCTAAGTCTGCTGCAACTGGTGTTTTGGCTTCTACAAAGCTTGGACCGCAGAAGCGGTCTCGCTTGTGCGAAGATTGGACCGCAGAAGCGGTGATGGGACTTGGGCGCTGATTCCGCAGAAGCGGTTGGGGAAGCCGCAGAAGCGGGATTTAAGTCGCAGAAGCGGGTTTTTGGGATTATGGGAATTTCCTCAGAAGCGGAAGGAGACCGCAGAAGCGACATTTTGACCGTAGAAGCGGTTTCTGCTGGACAGAAATATTTAATTCATCTTCATGAAATTTTGAGAAAAGTAACATATTTCACTTCGGACTTGGAGAGTTTTTGGGCGATTTTGAAGAGGGTTTCAAGGGCTTTGATCAGGTATGAACTCTTGGACTTAAAAACATGATTCTATGGTGTAAATACATGGATTAGAGCTGGAAACTTAAGAAATTAAAGGTCAAAAAATGGAAGTTAGGGCTTGAACTTAAGAGAGCAAAAATTGGGTTTTGAGGGGGTCAATTGGACTCCGATTTTGGTGTTTTTCATATGTATAGACTCGTGGCGAGATAAGGAACCCGTTGGTGTAAGAATTTCTGAGTTTCAAGGAGTGGGCCCGGGGCTCGGGTTTTGCCAATTTCGGGATTTTTAATATTTTTCGATTGTTTTCGATTGGGTATTGTTCCGTTGGCATATTGTGACGTATTCGTTGTGGTTTTGGTCAGATTCGACGCGCGTGGAGGCTGATTTGAGGAGCAAAGGCGTCGCGAGCTAGAGATTTCGCCGGTTCGAGGTGAGTAATGATTGTAAATGATATTCTGAGGGTTTGAAACCCCGGATTGCACATCATAGTGCTATGTTGAGGTGACTTGCACGCCGAATAGCGAGCGTGGGGTAGAGCACCGTTGGGGATTATGACTTAACCATCCTGATTAATGATTTTACCACGTATTTGATTGAAATCAGTTTGCTATCATCATTATTTGGGCTGAATGCCATATTTGGGCTTCGTGCTAACTATTTGAACCCTTCGGGGATTGTTGTTGATAATTCCTCACTGATTTAATTATATATATTTGAATTCAGTCATGTTATTTCCTACTGTTTTCAAAACTCAGCCACGTTCACTCAGTTCTAATACTCAAATGATATTTAAATGATGTTTTGGGCTGAGAAACACTGTTTTATTGTTGCCCGAGTGGCTTATGTGATTTTGTTGACTGAGTAAGGCCGAGGGCCTGTATTGTGAGGATACTTATGGATCGGGCTGCGCGCCGCAGCAGTGTTATACTGTTATTGATATGAGGCTGAGGGTCTAGTTTGATGCCACGAGATGGCTTGATATTGCGCTTGGGCCGTAAGGGGCCCCTCCCAGAGTCTGCACACCCCCAGTGAGCGCCGTCGACGATAAACTGAGCGGGCTGCACGCCGCAGCGATATGTGGAGCGGGCTGCACGCCGCAGTGGTACCGATACTGTTTGATGTGTTTACCTTATTTCATTGTCTGCCATTATATGTTGTTTGTGCTACTTCTTGCAATATTTACCTGTTGCTCTGGTATTATCTGATAACCGAGTGTGGTGCCCGAGAGGCGGACTTCTGTGCTTATCTGCACTATTTGTTTTGCATTCAATTGCATAATTGTTGAAAAAGTCATTTTCAAAAGAGGTTTTAAACTGAGCTAAGATATTTCTAAAGTTTTTACAGCTTCACTGCTTTCTCTCAAAGGGTTTTTCACTGTCCCTATATAGCATGATGGTTTGCTTTACGTGATTTCTTACTGCTCAGTTGTTATTTACCCTTATTACTCACTGAGTTGGAGTACTCACTTTACTCCTTGCACCTCGCGTGCAGATGCAGGTATTTGTTCACCCGGTAGCGGGTTTTGGCTGATCAGAAGCAGAGCTATAGGAGTAGCGAGGTGACTGCCTGCGTTCGCAGCACCATTTTTCTCTCTTTTGGTTCATTATTCCGGCTTTGTATATTTTAGGTCTTGTAGTTGTATTTATACTCTGATAGATGCTCGTCACTTGTGACACCCCGGTTTGGGCTGTGTTTGGGTTTTATTCTGCACTTATTAAAGAGATCTTTTAATAGACTGTGGTTACTTAATCATATTAAAGCTTCTTATTAATGTTGACTATTCTAAAAAGATAAGTTGGATTAATTGGCTGGCCTCGTCTTCACGAGAGGCGCCATCACGACCGGGTCCGGGTTTAGGGTCGTGACAAGTTGGTATCAGAGCCTAGGTTACTAGGTCTCACGAGCCATGAGCAGGTTTAGTAGAGTCTCGCGGATCGGTACGGAGACGTCTGTATTTATCCTCGAGAGGCTGCAGAACCTTTAGGAAAACTTCACATTCTTGAATTCTTATCGTGCGTCCTTGATTCAGCTTGAAAAGAAACTCTTGAAATTCCTTCCACGCGTTTGTATGCACGCATGAGCGCTCAGTATCAGATGTGCCTTGATGGCTTGTGATTCCCCGATCGAGGGGCGAGACGTGATCTCTGTGAGTTTGTTGTTGGGCCAGTCTGGAGGACTTGAGGCCGGATCCTTGTCTATGGCTTGAGCACCGAGGTGCTGATTGTGTGAACAAGTGTTTTGAACTTATATGTTCGGTATTGCCCCTATTAGTGGGAGTGACGGCTGGTTAGCTACGTGGTGAGTATGTTAGTGCTGCAAGGTGCATCTGTGTGACTTGGAGGTGATGAGGAAGGCCTACTGGATGATAGAAGAACTATTAGGTGTTTGAATTCCATTGCGATTCGAGGTATAGCCTGAGTTATGGGCGCGCGAAGAGTCTTTTCATGTTTCCAGTTGAGAGTGAAGTAATGTATGAGTTCAGACTCAGGAAGACTAAGTAAATGTGTAATGTGTATGATGGTGGAAGGTATGAGGAAATGTCATATTGAGGCGAAGCAGGCGGGTTATCTCCTGCGGAGTGTTCTGAAGTGGTGTAATCCTTATGTGTATATTAGAAGATCTCATGTGTAATTGAAAAGTGCGTGTTGAAATTTGAAATTTCGGGTCGCTTAAGAGAGTGGGCTTCATTGTTACGGGGATGAATGCGAGATTTGCAGAAGATTTACAGTATTAGATGATCTGTGTTTTCACAAGCTTACGAAGGATTTGAGTCTAATCTCACTATGGTATTGTGGCATCAATATGGTATAAGTGTTATGAGTTGTTGAAGGTATTCTCATCTATGGCTTCGAGCCAAGTGGGGGAGATTGCTAATGATTAGCTGATTGCTCGGTTATGTGTTATGTTGGTTCCGATGTGAGGCGTACGAGAATCAGTTCTGGTTGCGGAGATTGAGCCCGAGGATGGCTCGAGTAAAAGGAAATTTTTGACTAAGGATAGGTTATGTGCTGCAGTGTCAGAAGTGCCAATGAGGCGCTGATTGTTCGGTTCTGTTGATCGGGTTAGAAGCCGAGTTTTCAATGGAAGAGTTCAAGACTTGTGGTATTTCTATGTTAATTATGGGATTCTATGTATTAGTATCAGGAATATAAAGGTAACGGACCTAGATTCGCAGGAAGTTCTTCAGAGTAAAGCATCCTGGAATGTGGTGTTTCTGGGAATATTTGAGAGAGTATTCAGCGGCTTGTGGGTCTTAGACGGTGTGGTCTTATGCTTGGGTCTCGTGTGGTGAGCCTGGGTTGAGGAATTGTAGTGCTACAGCAAGAGGAGATACCAAGTTGAAAATGAATCAGAAGGAAACTTAGATAGATGAAGTAGCTTGATAGTAGACCGAATCGGTGTGGAAAGGATATGATTAATTCTTTCTATGTGTTCGAGGTAATGAGTTTTTACAGGTATTCTGCAGCACTGCTCTTGGGTTTTGATGGCTTGCTTAGCTTGGTCTAGTTAGAAGGATTCAGTCTTGGTAGTTTAACTTGTGCAAACGGAATTGGGAGAGTTCTTGTTGATTTCGACCGTGGTTGGAGAGGTGCATTTTCTACGAATGTCAGAGGCATGAGATGTTCCTACAATATACCTCTTTTGCTTCCCACTCAGCATATATCTTCTCTGCACCATCAATATCATCTAACTTTTCCGGTCCATATCATGGAAAGATAACTTGAACGGTAGACCTTACCTCTATTCTTTAATTTGTTCCATATACGATAGACATCATTTTTCTTTCCCATGCTAGCATAGACGGAAAGAACGATTTCATTAGCAAGCCTTGCACTTTTCCACTTACTTAGGTGCTCGCACTTTTTCAATACCTTTGAAGCCTTTTCTACATCACCAGCTTTAATGTAACCCTTGGCAGCGACTGCATAAGCATTCCATTCAATCAGCAGAGGATCTACTTCCATCTTCATCAAAAGCTTCTCCATCTCCTTAATATCTGGAACAGATGCATATGCATTTAAGCGGATAGTATAGGAGAATGCATTACCAGCAATTCTTTTATCTTCCATCTCTAGCACCAATGAGTGTAGTTTCTGAAGGTCTCCCATTTTAACATAAAGGTTCATCATAATATTGTATGCCTCTACATTAGCATTCCCCAGATACCTCATCTTTTGCATTGTACCTTCTGCTTTTCTCAATGATTTTGCATCAGTATAGCAATTCAAAAGAGCGACATACACACAAGAAGCTCTCAGATTTTCTGGGATGCTAAAGAAATACTTCTCTGCTGCTTCCAATCCATGAGCTTTTGATACCAAATACAGACGGACTGCAACATCTCCAGGTAATAGATAAGGACGCTCGGAGTTGTCAATCCATTCATAAATCTGAGACAAAAATAAGAAGCAGGATATTGAACCTGGAGACAGCACATAAACAAGGGGAAACGCCAACAAAAAAAAAAGTAGTTTTGCTGGAACTGAGACCAACTTGGCACTTAATTTTAAGTGAGTGTAGCCATGGCTGAGACAATTCTAGTTATTCAATCACTTGTTGCATATTTTAGTAAATAATGGCTCACAAACCTTTTTATGTAGGTTTTCAATACGAAACTCTATTTTAAAAATTAGAAGAATCATGTCTGAATTGAATTTTTCTTTTTTACATGATTTGACCCTCTTATTCTAAATCCCCAAAAGACTAACATATGCTAGAGGTAGCAAATGGCCGATTGGGTCAAAACAGGTTAAATTAATGAACAAGTCATAACCAACTCGTTCAAAGTTTGTTTGAATCAAATTGGTAACCCAATCCGTCAAACATGACTTAACTCCTCCCTTTTTTATTTTTTCTCGAGTAAATTCCAAATCCCAAGTTTTAATTTGTGATAGAAAAGGCACCCGGGTCAATACACTGGGTATTCACCTTATCAAGATCTCAAATCAATGATGGGGTCTGTTTGGCACCTCCTAAATGGGCGTCCAAATTGGACCGAACTCATTATCAGGCTACGTTCCCTCAAAGTTATGGAGTAAGACATCGATTTCTCAACAAAATCAATTTTTCTGATTGTATGATGAACTCCCTTGAAAAACATTATCTTTATGAACTTCCAATTCCCAAGTTTTCTTTATGAACTTCCAATTCCCAAGTTTCTCTTTTCAGTGGCGAAGATTATGGAGAATCTCCATTTCTTATAACTCATTTACGACATTGTTCCAACATGCATTAAAGACACTCTAAAGATTAATTAAATTTTTCTATTTTAAGACCTTAAAAGTCTGTTATTTTGACCCTCAAGCCGTCACTTTTAGTTTTAAAATGTGTAGATAGGATATATATATATATATATATATATGCTCCATTTTGTAACATGAATTACGAGTTGACGAAGGTTTAATAATGAAATTAATATCTTGTCCTGATGAATCTTATGATCTCTATGGCAACTTGTTTCAGTCGGTTAAAGATCCCCCTGCTCTCATATAGAAAATGATTAGTGATAGTGACTAAGAAAGATAAAATCTGTGTTTGAAGTCATTATTTATGTGGTTCCAGTTGCATTTCGACCCATTCAGTAACACTTTTTGACCCAATAGTTTGATGGATCACTTTAAAAACCCATTGAAATTTCGGTCAAACGAACTAATGATCATGACCTGGCCCGTTTAAACTTGAACAAGTTAGGTGTTTCATAGCCTATTATTCAGCATCAAGATTCAGTCTAAGGTCAACGCAAGGAGCAAGTCAAGAATCAAGACAAGACTCTAGATGACACATAGATGGGATTTTGTAGCTCTTAGAGAGCAAACTATAATGAGCTGCTATTACATTAGGCATTAATAAACAACAGTTGATTTCATGTTCTCGCAGTCTTAGTGGACCAGTCGGGGGAGCTACAGTGATACAAGGGTCGTCAGTCGAACACGGCCGTGTTGATGGGTCAAATATTACTTCTGTAGATATATATAAATCTTGAATACTCTTGACACAACTTAGAGTTGTCGCTCAGCAGCTAAGGGTCTCCAAAATTACTTAAACATCGCGGTCCAATCCCTTCCTATAGCATTGCTCTTCTTTTTTGGTTTAACAACAAAGTCTGTTCTACTAGGAATTAGGAAACAAAGTCTTTTCTTGTAGGAATTAGTTCCTCAGTTTCGATTACAAAAGGCTGTTCACCCCGAGATATATATCCAAAGGGAGGACAGAGGAAAAGGATATGCAACACTGTGTTCTTCAAGTTAAAAAAAAAAATGGTATGTCTCAAAGTTCTAAAAGTCTTATTAGCTTTTATTTTTTAAATTAGCAAACCATTTATAGTAAGATTTATATAATTAATGGTAGTTGAAACTTGGAAGCATATCCTGATTACTGACCATAAAAAAAGTTTTTGATCCCACTCTAAATTACAACATTATAAACTCCTTATCTTTTTCCCACACTAAATATAAATAACTAACTTGTCATATTTTTGCTTATAACCTAAGTTGCTCGGACTCTTCACTTTCAGCGCCGCAACCCTGTCGATACAACGTGGGTGTGGGTGCGGGTGCGGGTGTGAGATCCGTACCTGACTTTGGGTACTTTGACCAAAATTAACGGAGAGATCAGGAAAAGATACAATGATTGTTTAAAATAAAACAAATGCTAGGATGAAATTGAAGAAAATGAAATACCTTGTATATAAAATTTCTATGTCAGTCCTTTTTTCTTTTATCTCCTCGAATTCATACCTTGTAAGTCTTTCTCACGCTGTATCATAATCTAGACATATTTTTATAACTCTACTTTTAGATATTTGAATTATTTTTAGTCGAATTCCGGCACCTGTATCCGTACCTAGAACCGTACCCCAAAATCTTAAAATTTAAATCATGAAGGATCAAACCTCTAGATCCGTACCCCTATTGAAACCCGTACTTGAGCAACTTAGCTTATAACTATCTTTGTGTTAATGATTGTGTTGTGTAATTATTGTTCCGATTAAAATATCTTATAATATATGTGATTTATGCTTTCACTATTATAATTGACTTATGTATGTTTGTTTTGATTTGTACAATTGTTAGTTCTATTATAAGAGTTTTTATAATTTAGCTAAATATTACGTATCCATTGGTCGAATTTCTTTCTTTACTTTTCCAAAGTTTGTGATCACCCTTAGGGTTTGTTTGGAAAGCCACCAGGTAATTGGGATTGGTGTAATTACTAGGATAGTAATTACACAGCCTAGTAATTAAACAGTATTGTAATTACGACAACATGTTTGTTTGTCATAATATAATTACATTGTAATTATCAGCGTACTGTTTGGTTAAATAGGTGTAATTACACAGTTAAATTATATTTTAAATTCAAAGTTCATTATCAAAAATTAAAAGTTAAGATTTCACAAATATATGCCTTCATAAATAATTTTAAATTTGACATTTAAGATACATATTATTTCTTGAAAATATATTAATTTACTAGTCATATATTTGTAACTAATATAGTAAAAGTAATTGACATATATATATTTTTCAAATAATAATATTTTACTTTAATTAATTATAAAAACTAAAAGCACAGATTTTGTAATAACGTCATGGAGTGCTTAATAAAAACAATTATATTTATAAATATTATGCCATAACATTACTCAAATATTTTACAAAAAGATATCTCATCAATTCTAACTGAAAAATGAATGTCATGCGATCTGAATTAACAAGTCAATATTGCTAGAGCAAATATAACAAAATCGAAAATATAACATAAATTCAAAATTCAAAAAAATTACTCTTATGTAAAATTAAAATAAGCTTCAATATAATTTAAGTAAATATAATTTAAAAGAAAAGAAAAACATAAGTCTATAACCTCATTCAATAATGAGATTCTACTCTAATGACATCACTCATTACATGCCAAGTTTATTAATGACTCGTTGTTTGTAATATTAGGAGGTGTTGTTTCAAATCTAGAACAATAGCACAACTATGCTAAATGAAGATAAAGAAAAATAAAAAACATGAGAAACTACATGGAATCACAAAAATAAAGGTTAGAAAATGAGAATATTATTTAAATATTAAAAAATAATCTATTATTTTAAGATAGTTAAGTTTGCATATAACCTCATCCAAGTTCCAACAACAAAGTTCAACTTTAATGACATCACTCATTATAAGTCAAGTTTGTGGATGACTTATTCTTTCTAAGATTATTATTATTACAAGGTATAATTTCTTAAAAAAATAGAATAACAACATAGCTAAGTGTAATAAAAAAAAAATTAATTAAGAAAGAAAAAAATATGAGAAATTATGTAGAAACACATGAAGTAGAAGTTGAATGAGAAATAAGGAACTAAAAGATAATTAATATAAAAAGACTAATATTTGAAAAAAAGAATTTAAAAAGTTAAAATAAAAAGTAAACTAAAAAGAAAAGAGATTCAGAAAATAACCTTGTACTTACACCCAATTACATGTTGACTAAGTAATTATTTGGTCAGACAAACATATCAAAATTGTGTAATTACACTCAAATTCAATTACAGGATGGCTTTTCAAACAGGCCCTTAACGAAATTAGTGACTTCGCCACTAGAACCCGTCATCTTAGCAATTTCTAAATTGAATGACCAAGAACGGCCCTTCTAAAAGTAGAAGTGGTACCAGATAGCCAAATTTAAGGGTACCATTTAAAACATCAAGTTATCCACTTTTTAAAAACTATTCAAAGATTAGCAAGTTTTGATCAGAGCCTAACTTCCGCCTGAAGGTCTTAAATTTTAGAGTTAATTTTATCTATGGTCATTGAACTTTTGTGTTTGTTACCCAAAAGTCACTTTTTTTTTTGTTACGTAAAAATCATTCAACTTTGTGTTCATTACACAAAAGTCACTTTTCTTTCTTTTGTTACACAAAAATTATTTTACTTTGCTCTAGTTATCACAAAAGTTAGATTTTTACTGAAAAGTCTATTATGCCCTTGATATTATATAAACTTTCATATTTATGTAATACCTTCTATATTATATACTATTTAATATATTTTTAACTATGTATTATATTGATAAATAAAATAACTTAATATTATTTTTATAATATATTCGTATATTTTATTTTTTCTTAATGTTAATTTTCAAAATATATTAGTAGCTTTATTAAATCTGTCAGTAACTCTAATAAATATTGTAGAAAAAATAAATCGGCAAGTACATTTCCGTGAGAAAATTCGCAGGTAAACAAATAAAGAAAATGAGGAAAAAATCATATGTTAATCTGAAGGAAAATCCCTAGGTACTACATGCGAATTTAGCTGGGGATATTTTCTTGGGGATTAACCTAGGCAATTGGTTATTTCGGAAATTATATTACTAGAAATTCGGAAAAAACCGTCCAAAAAAATCGACCAAAGTTGGTCGGAAATTACCGACCAACTTTGGTCGGTAAATTAAATTCAAAAAAAAATTCTGAAAAAAGTTGTTTTATAACGCTATAATATATCTTGAAAATTAAATATACGAATATATTATAAAAATAATAAATAAAATAATATTAAGTTATTTTATTTATAAATATAATACATAGTTAAAAATATATTATATAGTATATAATATAGAAGGTATTACATGAATATGAAGGTTTGTATAATATCAAGGGCATAATAGACTTTTTAAGTAAAAATCTAACTTTTGTGATAACTAGAGCAAAGTAAAATGATTTTTGTATAACAAAAGAAAGAAAAGTGATTTTTGCGCAATGAACACAAAGTTGAATGATTTTTACGTAACAAAAAAAAGAAAAGTGACTTTTGGGTAACAAACACAAAAGTTCAATAACCATGGATAAAATTATCTACTATGTTTTTAAGTAGCGGCTATTTGTGCAAATTCGCCTCCTTCTAGAATTATAGCCCGTTTGACCAAGCTTCTAAAATCAGCTTATTTTGAGAAGTGTTTCTCTACTTTTATAAAAAGTGCTTTTAGTGACAAGTAGTTTGTGTTTGGCTAATTAATTAGAAAAGCACTTTTGACCAGTAATTAGTGTTTGGCCAAGCTTTTGAAAACTGCTTTCTAAGGGTATTTTTCTCAAAAGTGTTTTTGGAGCTTTTTTCTACTTCTCCAAAACAGCACTTTTTTTCCTTCCAATAGCTGGCCAAACATCTCAATTTTTGACCAAAAGTGCTTTTGGCCAAAAAAAGCACAACTAAAAAATAAAGAAGCATTTTAGAGAGAGAGAAAGGAGAGGGTACCTGGAGGGCATGGTTGAAGCGCCGAATGCCCTGAGCTGTTTAATAGCTTTCTTGAGGTCCTGATATTCCACGGGCTTTCCTTCACTAACCCACTGCTTAATTGTTGGAAGAATGGACGCAGTAGAAGGTGCATATCTTATCAGCATTGGGTAAAGAGTGTCCGCCGCTGAAGAAGAGGCTAGGGTTCCAGAATTGGTACAAAATTTGAAAACCATTAGCGAATTAGGGCTACATTTACACCATGATTTCAGACCACCAACACTGTGCTGGAGAACCTTCATCATATTTCAGGAGAACAGATAGTTTAAAATTTCTCACTGATCTCAACTTTCCTCTGTATTTCAAGAGCAAAAGAAAGGAAAGCAAGGCTGTTGAGTTCTAACACATGAGTAGAATGTTTACTAATTTGACCCATTTTCCATCCACGCTAGTAGTATGTTTGCTTTCATCCGCTTGGAGCTTGAAAGCCAATTTTTTGGGTGTTCGCTATAAATTTTTTACCATCTTTTATAAATGTTTTATTGTGTAAAACTGCTTTATAGCCTGTTTAGCAAGAGGGAGGCAAAAAGTGCTTTCTTGTAAAAATAAAAAAAATTAGATAGTTCAGGTGTTTGGCGGAGAAAAATAAGTGCTGTTGAGTGGTAATATAAGCTAATTTTTCAAATATAAGTGCTGTTGGGAATGATATGATAATACGGTAATGACTGCCATATCCATCGGGACTGCGAAACAAAGTGTTATCATAGGGATCGGGGACTGTGCGGTCAGTCCCGTAGAAACAAGTAATGGCAATTTCTTTTTAGCAAACGCTTATGTACTTTTGAAAATTGAAGGAATAAAATAAAGTCCTTTTTAATTTTATCTTGTTTCTTGTCGTATCCATGAGTTAATTTTATTATTTGAAAGTTAAATAAGTACTTCAAATGCTAGTGTCGTGATGAACATGAAACATACTCTTCAAGAGCACCGTAAACATAAAAGGGCCCTCTCTTATGAAACTCTCACAGTAAAGGATTGATTCTGGAAGAAATTATGCCCCGAATCCAAATGGTATCGGAGAAAAATACACCTGAAGCCTCGCATAACTCGACGTAATAAAGTAAAATTTGCGCAATACTTAAATGAGAAGTACGCAAAGAGAAAAACTTGCGCAATACTTAAAAGAAAAAATTACTTCTACAACAAACGTGCCAAGCAGCACAAGTACAAAAGTATGGAAAAAAAAACAAAGTGAAAAGAAAGCAAAAAGCTAAGGTACTGCATCCCTGGAATCCAGAGGAAGAGAAGCATCTGCACCCCAAGGAGAAGTAGGCGGATCCACCGCCGGCTCAAGATCTTGGCCTTCACCATCTTGGCCTTCACCACCATCCCCTTTAGGTTCTTCTTCAATTCCCGAGAACTCAGAACCGGAACCCGAAGAGTCAGTAGCATCAGGTTGGACCGAAAGACCCCTTCGGCCAGTCGACTCCAGCTCACGGGCCTTGGCGATTTCGACATCAAAGTCAATGACGCCCGCTTTGGTCTTTTCCAAGGTTTTTCTCCTCATTCTATACATAGAATATGTTTTTTTTAATAATGAGAGAAGTCGCTCGGTGCCAAAGCTTCCTTAAGACAGTCAACCTCGGTCGAAAGGTTATCTCGCTCAATTCTAGCGGCCTTGAGGCTGATATCAAGGTCACAGTCAGTGGAGTTAAAAACTTTGTTATGCTCTATAACTCTCTTATGCCTCTCTTCCAACCGGGCATACTTCTTCTCAGTGTAGCAACTTCTTTAGCTTTGGAGTTCAAGGCTGCCTCTTGGCTAAGGGTCACTACCTCTTGCTCGCTTTGCTGCAACTAGGGGTGTCAATGAATATTTAAAAATCGACTAAAGCGATCGAACTGTATCGTACCGAACAAATCTTTAGGTTTCTTCTAATAAAACTGTAAGATTTTATATAAATATATAATCGTACTGATAATTAGGGTAGATTTTTTATTTTATGAAAATAAATCGAAAAATACCGAACCGTTGAAAAATATATTTGTATATTAAGTTTAAATACTATAATGCATTAAATTTTTCCTTTAGCATTGGAATTATGAAAGAGGTTACAAGTCAACAAGTAACTAAACTCAAAATCCTAATTCCCAAACCTATTATGATACTTCTACTGAAACTAAATTATTTCCAGCATATTCACTAGTAAGACACAAAGTATTATGACGATTATGAGTAGCAAACTGTACAATGTATTGAATATGCTTCCTTCTGTATGATTTAGATTTATCTTTTTAAATATTTAATCTTCTATAGATTTTATTCTTGAGTTCCAACATGGTTAATATCTTTCCACTCGTGTGATTTATATTTTTTCTGTCTTTGTTTAGTTTCCTTTACGCTGTTGTAGAATAGTTGATGGATCTATACTCTAGTCATCTTTCATATTTTCATAATTATCATTATTTAAACAGTAAAAATATCTAGACAGTTTTGCTAAGTCCTATAAAAGTATATATGTTATTGCATTCTACTTCTCTACTGACTTTTACATGGTACTTAAAAAAATACCAAAAATTAACCGAACCGTACCGATGTCGAAGAGAAACCGACATGATTGGGACGTTTCGAAAAGTCTAATTTTTGTTATACATTATTAAATAACCAAAAAATTCGTATGGTATAAATTTTATAAAATAACCAGCCGAGCCGAACCATTGATACCCCTAGCTGCAACCGAGCCTCCAACTCAACAGCCTCAGCAGCTTGTGCTTCCAGTTCCGAGAGGTGGGCAGCAATTTGATCCCACTCGGCCAACAATTGATCTTGCTCGGAGGTGATTTTCTCCTTGTCAAGGATCAACCTCTAAAGGCCCTCAAAAGAAAGGAAGTTAGCCTGCAAAACAGAAGTACAAATTAAATCCTGCCATAATAAAGATAGAAGGAACAACAGAAGGAACAAAGATCGTACCGTCGCTGCGTTGCATAACATTGTTTACCATACACTCTCCCGAGAGAGACTGTATTTTACTCCTATCCTTCTCTAAAATCAGAGGCTTCAGATAATTAGCAAGTTCACTGGGCGGGACAATAGATGGCATCCGGTAGAAATCGAGATGGAAACACTCCTCCTTCTCTAAGGATCTTCAGAGGGGGCGGAATAATTATGCCCCAAATTCCCGTGAACTGGGGACTGAGGAAGAGGAATATCCTCATCTTGGATGACTGCGGCCGGTGAAGATAATGTAGCCGTTGCTGGTGGAGAAGGCAAAGTTGGCGAAGATGGAGATGAAGCTGATGGCGTTGTAGGTTGAGAAGCAACTGTAGCAAAAGCAATGCTAGTTGTTGGTTGCTTCAAGCGAAGACGGAAAAGACCCGGTACACAGCCTCACAGTACCGGGAACGACGACTAGGACACGAAAACGAGAGTTAGCATCTTCCACTACAGCATATTCCCCCCCAAAGCGTCGTCCACGGTTAGTGTAACTAGCTCAACAGATTGAGCATTCTGTTGAGCTGATGAAGGTCGTCGTCTTCTATGTAGAGAAGCCCCCTCATCATGCTCCTCCATTATCATCGATCACTACAGTGTCTGCGGCTGGATCGCGCGGGATGCCCTTCACCTTTTTTTTTTACCCTTGGCCGTGGAGGAATGTTGCCTTTTTGGTTGCTTGTTCACCGGCCGCGGACTTCGAGAAGAAGCACTTGCACAGGAAGCATGCCTGATGACACCCGTTCGGGCGAAAGCCTGCTGTAACAACCTCGCCGCATCAGTAGGATCAACCAAAATGTCCTCCCCGGGAACGGTAACAGAGCCCTGCGGAAGACCTGATTCAACAAAAAAGAAAAGTTAACCAATTTTCCCATACGAAAAGTAAAAACAAGATAAGTTCAACTTACCATGATTTTTGGCCTTCCGCCCGTATTTAAGGGCTAGTTCTTTCCACTTGAGGGTCTCAGGCGTAGAGACATCCAAAATCTTCTGGACCCACTGGTCCAAGCGTTCAACCCTTGGTGGTTTCCACTGAGTTGCTGAAATAGTGAAAGAAGAAGGGTCAGTAATAGCATGAGATAATCTTTAAATAGAAGGAAAGATAGACGATGAACTTACGAGTACGGTTCCATGATTCAGGAAAGGATAAAGTCATGACCGGGATGATGTCCCTGGTGGCAACTGCAACAAACCGCTCCATCCATCCATGATCGTTGTCATCGTCATGCTGGTTGACAAAGCATGGTGACCACATTTGCCGAAGTTTATCATTTCCCCACAGAAAATCTTGGGTGAATAAAGGTTCATCAGTCGAGCCAGGGATATCTTTTCTCCCATCTCCTGGCATAGACGCCAAAGACAAGCAATAGTACGCCACACAGAAGAGCTCACATGTGCCAAGCAGACTTGGTAACGGAAGCAAACTCCAAGATAATAGAGTGAAACCCCCCGATCAATGTAAACGAGCCCAAAGTGAAGGGGTACGTATAACCATACGTAAAACCCTTCTTGAAGAAGGTTACTCGCTCTGCTAGGTCAGGAGCATTGATGTTCAAATCTTGACAACCAAAGTCTTCCTTCACAAGAGGGATGCTAGAAGGATAGATGGAAGAAGGATATTCCCCAACAGCCCATGTGCGGGGGTTAGCAGAAGGGTACTTCTCTTCGAAGTCTTTATTTGTAGTAAGCCTTCTGGGGATAATGATGCTCACGTAGGAGGAGCATCATCAGTAGTGTTCTCTTTGTTCTTTGAAGCACTGAAATTTCTGGAAGAAGAGGCCATTGTTATCAGAAGGAAGTAAGGGTTTTTTCTCTGAAAAACAAGATTAAAAGGAAGTTGAAAACAAGTGTGAATTGAGTAAAGAGAGTTTGAGAGAGTTTAGAAAATTATGAAGTGTAAAAAGGAGAAGATTGATGCGTATAAGTAAAGAAATATGCGGCTAAAATTGTAGCCATAATTACCTCGAGAACCGGCGAAAGTGTTGCGGAATCATGGGATGATGTGTGTTCGGAAAATTAAATGAGGAGAGACGTGCATCTAATCAACCGTCAGAAGCTTTTTAGAGCGGGTCAGAGAATTTTTCGCCAAGAAAGGTATCTTCACCAACTTCTCCGGTGATACAAGGATGTGCCACCGGAAAGCAGGGGTACTATCTGTATAGGGTAAGAAATGTTTATATTAAATGCTCACATAATAAAGCGACACATGGAGCCGAAGACAGATGGAAAGCAAGGTAAATGTCAATCAGGTCCGAAGGCAGCAATCCCGTTTGTTCCCGAAGGGAATAATGTCCATAAAGACAAAATAAATGCCTGTCATCTGCTAGCATTTAATTGAGAATATCCTATAGCATTAAGTACGTAGTCCTTTATAGAGAATATGGTATTCATTGTCTACCGTTACACATTCTTCAATGGCCCCCATAATTGTCATTTAAGAGGGACTTGATCCTAGGACCTTGTTTCCTAAGAACAACTATAAATAGTGAGCTCAACAACTATTGTAAAGAGAATTTTATGACAAGCTCATACTATACACTGTTCAAAGCTTAATACAGTAATATTTTATCTTCTTGCTTATTTATATCATTACAACTTCCTCCGGAAGCTCGGCTCCTGCAACCAGGATTTCTGCTGTCTTATCTCGATTTCAACGCTAAATTTTATATTCTTGTTTAATTTTTTTTTTCTTTTGTGATCAAACCGATTCACTTGTCTATAAACCACATATAAATTCAACTGTACCGTTTACGGATAAAAAATGTGTTATTGTATAAAACTATTTTATACATTATTT